AGTTGCAATATATATTGGGATCATGTATTGCGTTACAGGCTGTAGACCAACATCAGTGTTGACAACATTCATGGAGAGGCGCCAGAGGAGGAGCACCGGAAACGCCAAATGTTTTGCCACTAGGAAAGTTGAATTGGGCTGTAAACATCACACCAAAGTTCGTTTCAAGCTCATGTCTGGGAGGGGGGGCAAACACTACTACGATACCCTAAAGGATATCACCCGTGAGGGGCTCTTTGATTTTTCCGGGTGGAAAATCGTTTGAGGACATAAAATAGATGAAGTGCTGTGCACGCTGTGCTATTTTAATGCACAGCGTGTATCAGAGAAGTGGCACAATGAAGAGCCCCTCAGCGAATATGTGCAAAGGGTAAACACAAACCCCATAAGATTCTACCTGCACACAGAGACAATAGAGGTAGGTGATACACCAGATGGATGTGCAGTATATTACACAATTGACTTACCACAAAGGTCCTTGCAGCCAGTTTACAGTACTTAATATCAATACTATTAGATCAATATTATTGTTGGTTCAACCAACAGAAGCTGTGTCTTTCATGCTAAATTTTAATTATTCGTTATATGTTTTAAGAAGTGAACATTCTATTTATAGTGGCGAAATATAATGCAGTTTAGTAATCTACATATACGTCTAGGTTTTAAATATCTTGTTTTAACTGGCAATTATATCATAATTTATGTCATAGGAAGGTCAAATCTCATGTATAATTGGCACAATGATACTAGTTGGTTCATTTGTGAACAACATACCTCAGTAAGAATGGAGTTCAAGCGTAAATCACTGTATGCTTTATGTTCTTACACGAGCGTGATATTTACCTTTATTATAATTTTACCTATATGACTTTATTTATAGTATAATATAATTTAAACATTAATACACTATTTATTTTACTACTTACTTAATTTTATCAATAATGCATCAATAATTCGTTTTAAAAATACTTAATTCTGACGATTTGGCCTCATCGTCATCTAAGGCGCCACAGTTCCATAAACAGAGTTGCTTCCCCCGAATATCCCATTCAGACAACTCAAATGGACCCGCTTAACCACAAAACATCTGTTTAGGGTGACTTGTAAAAATGTAGTTATTAAGTTCATGTTAAAATTCATATGAAGTAAATCTCATTTCTGTTAGTGTTCAGATGCAGCCACAACAAGGAGGCCAAGAACCAGGTCCAGAACAGCGGCTACTACACAAACCTCGTCAGAGCCAGGGGTATGTTTGCTTTTATTAACTATTTACTTTTATTTTGTGTTCATTGTTTACCGAACCTTCATACAGTGAGAGCCAAACTGTATGAAAGTTTGAGCTTGCCACGGCGTTTGTCCCACGTTGTGTGAAAGTTTCAAAGCCAATAAATTCACACAAAGTGTCTGCTGTATCACTATTTGATATCAGGAAGTACGCATAGACAACAAGGAGGCCAAGAACCAGGTCCAGAACAGCGGCTAGTACACAAACCTCGTCAGAGCCAGGGGTATGTTTGCTTTTATTAACTATTTACTTTTATTTTGTGTTCATTGTTTACCGAACCTTCATACAGTGAGAGCCAAACTGTATGAAAGTTTGAGCTTTCCACGGCGTTTGTCCCACGTTGTGTGAAAGTTTCAAAGCCAATAAATTCACACAAAGTGTCTGCTGTATCACTATTTGATATCAGGAAGTACGTATAGACAACAAATGTATTCAAATGATATCATCATTAGATTATACAAGTCTCTCAAGAACTACCACGGTAAGTCAGGCACAGTGACAGCGGGTCTGTATGCATTGACGTCAAGTACAGGACGTCAACAGAATCCCGAAGAGATTTCTGAAGTTGGTAATAAACAACTGGCAAAAACAAGAGTTAGTCAATGATGATCATTTTGCCGACCATTGAAAGATGATTGTAAAGCTGTGTAAAATATAATATCTCAAAAAAGAAACGCATAGGCGCTTTGTATTTTTAAAAATCGAATAAGGACTAATTGTGTTAGTAATTGTATGGTGTAAGTACTAAAAAGTGTTGATAACATGATTTTACACTATTGCACAAGTGAAAAATCGACTTTACCTAAAAATGTTGATTATGATGAGATATCCTACAAGAATTAAAAAGGCATCGCCACAACGCAACAGAAATCATCTTCCAGTTGAATTTGTGCGGCAAGGAGCATGCACTGTCTGGCTATAAAAATCCAGATTACTTTGGGAAATCGGTATTCGTTTTGAAGGAGTTTCAAGGTCAAATCTCTACGCCACGCCTTGACGTTGCGACACGGAACATCGCCATTGAAAGAATGCACGCTGGAGATAACCAATTTTCTGTAGCCAGGCGTCTGAATGTTAGTCTGAGCACGATAAAACTGCTTGCAGCTCGTTACAACGAGACGTATATAACAAATGACCACTGCAACCCGAGATCGATACATCAGGCTGCTACATGTGCGTGATCGTACTGCCACGGGTGAAAGCACAGCAGTCAGGGTGCCTGGACTCCGGAGGATATCCTGTCAAACTGTATTGAACATTTTGAGACAGATTTGACTGAGAGCCAGGTGACCCGACGTTGGGACCATGCTACGTGGTCACCATCGCGCTCAACGTCTCCGTTATCTACAATTATGCACTTTGTTGCATAGACATTACCTTCTTCTAAACTAATGTAAAAATCATGTACTAAAGTGTATTTGTGAACGAGTTATACATGTTTGAAAGTACAACATTTTTTGCAACAGAATTCTGGGTTTTGCGTTTCCTTTTTGGAATAGTATAGAGACTGGGATAAATTCATAGATTGCTTTAGACTGTGACTGTAAGTCTAGACACGAATGTTGTAGCAGTCACACTCTCTGAAAACTTGTATGAACTCCAAAATATGTCGCTCTTATGCGTTTGCGGCCAACGTCTGGTCCAGTGGTAAAGTTGCATCGTGTTAGGTTCACATTAAGGTTATTTTCAGCCATTTCGTTAACATCAAATATCAGCACAGTGACTGCTACAGTTATGCATATATACGCAACACAGTCCGTGGCGTGCTGCAATAGTTCATCTTGCTTCATTGACGATGGAAGGTTTCTTATGTATTTATATACTCTGTGAAACACACACAATTGTTGAGTTACAAAACACACACACTGAAAGCAATTTGAATACATTTGTATTTGGTACAGTCGCCAGTAGAGGAAGGTACAGAGACGGGTCGTATTGTTCAAGATGACCCAAATGACCTTCCAGCTCATGCAAACAACAGTCCGGTGAGTATCTCTGAGTCGACTTCTTGTTGATATTGCATTTTGTTTTGCCACTTCCTGCATCTTAGTGATGCTTTGAGCTTAACAGATACATAAAGAGCTGATTACGTGACTGAGCACTGTGTATAGAGCCTAAATGGTAACACGTATTGTATTGGAGTACGGAAATAGCTTTCCATTTGTGTTATTGTGATTTTCTCCGTGCCCATCTGTTTCTCTTTGCACATGAATCTCAATTTGTGTGCGGGTATTGCTCATTTCAAAACGTGGGAAACTGGACAAGGTTACCTAAAGCTTTTCGAATGTCGACGATCAGATATTGATCAAGGATGTTAAAATTAGGAGATGAACATAATGTGTTGGAAAATCAGAGGTATATAACGAAATTACAATAGCTCTAATTTTTTTATTTAAAACCGAACGCGTAGAGGTTTTAAATCAAAATTTGGAGCTATTATAATTTCGTTATATACCTGTGATTTTCCAACACAGTATGTTTGTCCCCATTCTACCATAACCGCATTATTAAGATTTTTTAAAACGAACTATTTACCACCGCGACTGTGCCGCTGCGCTAATCGGTTCGACAAGCTCGCACTCGGAACACCGAAGAGGTGTAACAATTCTTTTGTACAGTCCAATTGTAGGGGTGATGGCCTCTTCCAAAATTCTTAACAATGCCAACTTTGTCAAAATGTATTCAAACAAACAAAAGCTTCAATGCTTCAGAACTTTATTCACACGTTTAACTATGTTATGTTTACAGTGTGAAGCATAAGTGTTGAATTTTGAACAGATGAAAACTTTTTGGAATGAATTAACCCACTGACCCGCCGTAATGATTGTTGATAACTGTCACAGCACAGTAGAGATTTGAAATGTGGACGACGCACATGACTTTACACTTTGTGCCAAGTTGACCTGATTCATCGAATTCAAACTGACAGATGGAGCCAAGTGCGTGGAACTACCTGAGGTACCCTGCAGAATTGATGAATAGTTTCTTTTTTGATCGGAGGAAGTATCGGTGTTGTATGAATTTAGACTTTGCTGATTCTTGTGTCCTGTCTGTGGTGTTGCCACTTAGTGCGCTCCCCATTTAAGTCCGTTCTGTTTCATACAAAAACAACAACACGTGTTCGCAGCTCCCGCACTTTACTTGTCTGCCCATTCAGGCTGCTCATGCGCAGATACATTTCCGTTCTCTTTAATAGACGGAGAATATAACATAAACCGGACCATACCGGACAATAAGCATAAACACTACATCCCTCCTTTTTGTCAAGAAATGAATGATTACTATCATAACACTTAGATAATAAAATTAAAGATTAACATTCATATGTTAATAATGCCAAATTAAAGTTACAACCTCCATTATTTCAATACCACTTGACTTCAACATGTTTGAGAAATCATAAAACCAATCTTGGATGGAAATCTACCTAAACCTATATTTAGAAGTCTTATCCAGAAATTACCGTACAAAAGATATGATAAAGCAATACTGTAACAAAACAAATTCCACAATTTCTGTAGGTCTACATAAAATAAGCATACCTTCTGATATAAATTAAATTTAAATATTTTCTCAAGTTTACATTTTCACTTCCAGTTGTCTGAATTGTTCCTTGAAACAATTGTTCCTTGAATTGTCACTTATGAGTTTACAAAACCCAGCACAAAGTCTCCAAATCTTTTCGGAGGCTCTCTTATTCTTGTAGGTCTCTGAGTTACTCCTGTTTTGCTGCACCCGGTGTACTGTCAATGTCTGTTACTTTAGAAACACTTGTATCCCGTACCTCTGCTGTCTCAGACAACGCACGATGTTGACTAGAAACATGACTGTTAGTGTTCTTCACATCACCATCTGGTTTTGACACATACTTTTTAACATGAGTAACATGTCGTCTATACATGCCACCTGTACTAGATTCCAGATCAACTGCATTCCCATACCTGTTCACTACTGTACAAGGTTGAGGATGGAAATTACTGCTTAACTTGTTCTCACGATGTTGTCTAACAAGCACTTTATCCCCTGTCTGTATCGGAGTATGTTGAGCACATCGCTTCAGATCAGCATAATCCTTCCCTTTCATCTTTTGTACAGAGTCGAAGTCTCGGACATCGTCGTCAATACCAAAGTCAACCAATTCTGGCAATTTTGTCCTAATTTTTCTACCAAAGAGCATCTCAGCTGGTGCTTTTCCAGTAGATGAATGCGGCGTACTTCTGTACATCATGAGGAAATGTTGCAATTCCTGTTTCCAATTTTTCTCTTCCACCTGAGAAATCCTCAATATCTTCAGCAGTGACCTGTTCTGTCTCTCGACCTCTCCATTTGCCTGGGGCCAATAAGGTGTGGATGTGTTGTGGATTATTCCCTCCTGTTCCATAAAGTCCTCAAAACTGTCACTGATGAACTGTGGACCATTGTCTGTTTTCAGTGTATAAGGTAAACCATGTGTAAGAAAAGCCTTTTTCAAACAGCCAATGATGGCATCCGTTGAAACTTTCTTCAGAATGTAAAGTTCAAAAAATCTACTGTAATAGTCCACTACCACTAGAATGTTATCTCCCGAGGGCAACGGTCCGAGGAGATCAGCTGCCAAATGTTGCCACGGTAGTGATGGTAAAGTTGTTCGAAACAATGGTGGGGGAGGATTTGGACTTGATACAACTTGACATCCATGACATGACTTGCAGTGTGCTTCAGCTTGTGCATCAATACCTGGCCACCATACTTTGGTTCTCAGTCTCTGTTTCATTTTCACCACCCCCTGGGTGACCTTCATGAGCCAAACACAACACCTTGTCCCTGAGGCACATAGGAATAACTAATCTAGTTCCCCGAAGAACAACCTTTCCAATCGCTGAGAGTTCATGTCTCACAGGAATGTATTTCACATTTGTCATCACATGCCATCTGCCTGATAATAAGCAGTCCCTGATTACTTTCAGTTCACTGTCCGATTCAGATGCATTTTCAACATCACTAGTTGTCAAGGCTGCTGGCGTTGATTCAGATGCGACGAATCGAACATACTCGTCGGCTTCACTTGAATTCCTTGTCATCGCAGTTTGTTGATTTGACCTCAGTAGTCTAGAAAGACAGTCAGCAATATTGTTCTCTCCTTTAATGTACTTAACACTGTAATCATAGGCTTGCATCCGCAACACCCAGCGTTCAATTCTAGGACATGGCCTTGAACGGATAGCATGTATGAACTGCAGTGGTTTGTGATCTGTTAGAATTTCGAAATGGGCTCCATACAGGTAAGCATGGAATCGTTCACATGCCCATACCAAGGCTAAAGCCTCTTTCTCAGTTTGTCAGTAGCGTTTTTCTACATCAGTCAAACTTTTGCTTGCATAGCATATCACACGATGAACACCATCTTGCTGTTGCACAAGAACCGCACCTAGCCCGACCGGACTAGCATCTGTGATTACCTGAGTAGGTGCCTCCTTGTCAAAGTATGCAAGTACACTTGTGCTGGTCAACCGTTTCTTGAGTGTATCAAATGCTGTTTTCTGTTCACTTCCCCATACGAAAACATTATTCTTCCGTGTCAGTTTCCGCAGTGGTTCGGAAATAGTAGCCATGTTTTCAATGAATCTTCCATTGAAATTCACGAGACCAAGAAAACTCCTGACTTCTTGGGCTGTAGTAGGTGCTCTTGCTTCTTTAACAGCTGCAACCTTGGCTTCAGCAGGACTTAATCCTGTTTCGGACAAAACATGTCCAAGAAATTGTAAGTTCTCCTTCCTGAACTGACACTTATCCGGATTCAATGTAAGTCCCTTGTTTCTGAGAACTTGCAGAACATGAGTCATCCTTTTATCATGTTCTTCAACACTTGAGGCGTGAACAATGATATCGTCCATGATGTTGCGTACCCCTTCACATCTCTGTAGAATTTGTTGTAATATTTTCTGATAGAGCTCCGGTGCACATGAAATTCCAAACATAAGTCTCTTGTAACGGTACAATCCCTGATGTGTACAGAAAGTTGTGATGTGACGAGACTCTGGCGCTAGCTCAATCTGGTGATATGCCCACTTGATATCCAATTTACTGAAGACAGTACTCTTACTTAGATCATGAAGGACATCATCTATTGTCGGCATAGGATGTCGCACTCTCATAACTGCTTGATTAGCCACTCTCATGTCCACACACACCCGTATATCTTTCCGGGCTTGGAACAATCACTATGGGTGAAACCCATTTGCTTAGTTCATCAACTTTCTCTATAATGTCCAGTTTCTCAAGTTCCTCTAATTTCTGGCTCAATCTTTCTCTCAAGTGATAGGGTACACTTCTTAGATTCTGTATTACTGGTTGCACTGAGCTATCTATAGGAATGTTCAACTGGTAATCTTTCAATTTGCCAAAACCTTCAAAACACTCTGGAAAGGCTTTCACAAAGTCTATAGTTGTATGTAGTGAGTTAACACTGTTTCCCAGTTTCAAAACTCCTAGTTTCTGTGATGTCTTTCTACCAAGAAGAGAAGGACCATCCCTCTTAACGACAATGAATTCCACCTCATTCAGTGTCATCTCACCAGCTTTAATATCTGCCTTAAAAGTTCCTGCAACCGGTAGTGCTGTATCCACCCCATATGGAAATACTGGCTTTGTTTCCTTTTTGGAATCACAAATTATGTCCTTTGCTTTCATGTCTCTCCATGTTGACAATCCTACTATGTTACATGATGAACCTGAGTCTATGAGCATTGGTATGTTCACATTCCCTACCTCTACCTGAATTCTACCATCATGTACTTCCACCTCATTAACAACAAATGCATAATTTGTGTCATCTACACAAGACTCTTCATCCTTATCCTGTGAAACCTGTTTAACCGTATCATACCTATTCGGCTTACCTCTTCTAGGTTTCCGTCCAAACTTTGTCTTACAAACTTTTTTCAAAATGTCCTACAGCTCTGCACCTACGACATGTCTTCCCACAGGCTGGACACTCACTATCCCTTGACATATGACCTGTCCTCCCACAGCGATAACATGTCACTTCAGTTTTCCTTTCCTTGGGTATGTTCCTGGTTCACAGACCTTTTAGAAGTTCCAACAACATTTACTTCATGACCATCAGTGAAGATTTCACCTGTAGATCCGAATCCTCAAACACCTGTGCCATCTCTATCAACTGGTCCAAAGTCAATCCACTTTTCTCCAACAACTTCCTCCTCAAAGTTTGAAATACACTTTTCTATCACTTGGTCCCTAATTCTTTCATCCACTTGACCAATGTCACCAAATTCACAATTCTCCGTTTGCTGTCTCAAACGTGTTACAAACTGTACCACAGTCTCACCACCTGACTGCGACATGGACCGAAACACGTGTCTCTCGTAGGGCACATTCATTCTGGGTAAAAAGTAGCCATTTAATGTAGTTACCGTTCTGTCGTAGGCGTTATTATCAGCTGAACCACCGAGTTGAAGAGTAAAGAAGATATCTTGAACTGGCATACCAGCTGTATGAAGCAATAAAGCTTTCCGTTGTTCAATGTTCTTAATTCCACGCCCGTCTGCGTACAACTCGAAAGCGCGCAGCCATCTTCGCCAACGTGGTCCCAGACTTGAAGTCTCACTACAGTCGAAACTGTGAAGGTGTCCAATGTCACCAAATTTAACCGTCGTCATGATAGCTAGAACTAGAACTATCCTCGTCGCCATTCATGTGGTGTTGCCACTTAGTGCGCTCCCATTTAAGTCCGTTCTGTTTCATACAAAAACAACAACACGTGTTCGCAGCTCCCGCACTTTACTTGTCTGCCCATTCAGGCTGCTCATGCGCAGATACATTTCCGTTCTCTTTAAAAGAAGGAGAATATAACATAAACCGGACCATACCGGACAATAAGCATAAACACTACACTGTCAACTTTACGATCTCGCGCGATTCTACACCAGCATGTGACAAAAGAGTTACCGTTGTGGCACGCGCGCAGTGATTTGTTTAAATTTGACTCAAGCCGGCATTTACTGACAAAGTTTTCATCATTGACGAAAGCGTTTGTGGCCTAATGGTTTCAGAGTGTACCACGTGGAGTCGTATGCAGTTACAGATTCCGCCCTTGCTGACAAAATGCTGGATTTTGTGGATTCAATTTCGATTTGTATTTTGAAAATGAATCGACTGGACACGAAGACAACCCGGTCGCATAGATACGAGGTTTTCCCTGCCCAATATCAAGAACCCCCTCTGGATGATTCTTTGTAGCCTCAGAGTGTGTCATCGTGATGTATTGAAGATCCATATGTCGTCATTTTCGACAGTGAAAGAATCGCGGGAGAGAGACCGCTGATTTTTCACAGCCCCGCCTACCAAAACCGAGTGTGAGATCGAACCAAACTTTAACTTAGAGGTTTTCTGGTGTGTCAACTGACAAATGTGATCTAATTTTTGCCATGTCACCCTGAGAAATTGCCTCATGATGTTTGGGGTTATCCAAGCCCATCTTTTTTATTTTGCGCAAGATACCGAGAAATACATTATTTGCACTGTGAAATAGCTGATCCTGCAAGATATAGAAATTGCGCTCGTGAGGAGGTGCTCTGAGATGGCGATGTATGGCTGCACTGATTCCCACATAGCTCGACTTGAAGTAATACTGGCCGTAGATCGTCCTTACTTCGGCATAAACATGTCGCAGCGATTTTGCCAGTTCTTCTGCCGGAAGACTTTCAATGTTTGGATTCCCATTTTGTTGTGTTAGCCATTCTGAATGGAAAGGAATATAATCAGTACTTGGAATATCGATGAAAAGGTAGGAAATATTTTTTATTTATTCAGTATAAGTAGGGTTCGGTTACACTTACAGTACTTTTTATGCAATTTTCACATTAAAATTTGCAACCATAACGAATTCTGATGATTAAAAATATTAGGTGTATGTCATGTTAGGTCTATATGTCATGTTGTGTAGAGCTATTTTCTAAATTAGTAAAGAAAACTCATTGGTGAAAGAAAGTGAAAATAAAATCGAATTCTAAAAAATAATGCTTGTAATTTTGTTTCATTGCTTTATTTTCTTACGTTTGAAAATAGAAACGCCCCAATGAGTTGTTTTTAGGGTGTTTTTTAGGTCTTTCGGCAAGGTATATATGGTCCAAATCAGCCTCGTCCACTTTTTCGAAGCGCCTTGATTTTGTTACATCCGACGGTGCTGAATTTTCATCTTTGACCTGTATTAAAACAGTAAATAGACACATTTTGGTAATGTTTACCAATGTTATATTCACATGTAGGCCAGCTGCAAACTTGTTATATTACTATTGCGATTGTTATGTTATATTAATAGAGGCCTGTGGTAGTAGCTAATTTCAGTCATGATGCTGTAAATATATTCATAATCGCTTTCAGTTCTGACATTCGAACATAATCTTTTTTAATTATTCATTAATCTTGTTTTCTTATTGCAAAATGTTCATACCCAAATTTTCCAAATCAGATTTTGTTTGGTCAGGTTCATTAGGGCGACCTACAGTTTCATCCAGGCTTGGTGTTGACTGTACCGTGAAATCTGAAGAAATTGAAACTTGAATAAGGAGATAAACCTACTGTGTTTTGACATCAGAGATAGTATAACGGAATTGTGATAGCTCTGAATTAAATTTCTCCTCCATTACCAAGTCAGGATCAGTGGTCATATCGTCAACGAAATCTGATAATAAATAAAATTTAATATGGGAATTATGTAATTGTCAATAACTGGATCCGTTTTGGCATAACACTGAATGTACGTAATGACAGTTTTGCTTGTGTTTTTTTTCTTCGAAAAGCAGACGATATCTTGACGTTATTCGACTGAATTTTGTTTTCTATACTTGTGAACTAATTTGTGTATATAATCACCTGTTTCTGTGATTTGCGCCAGTAATGAGTTGAACTCATCATCGCTAAATCCATCATCGATTACAGATGCAAAATTTCCAAATGCAAAATCGCCTTAATCCATCAATGTATCGGTAGCTTGGTTTACGTCGGCCATGTTGGTGGTCAAACGAAAATAGTGCATTACCGTAAACAATGTATAATTGCGAACGGAAATCAGAAATCTGTATAACGTGATGATATACCTCTGAATTACTGTAATTAACCAATCAGAATCCAGTATTTACTGAAGTCATGGTAGAATACACATTTGCCCCAAAATAGTGGCCACCACTATTAAATGTACTTCAAGGAATTAATATATCTAGATATACTATCTGAGAGTTGAATGGTATATATAAGAGTCAGCTTCATGTGAATTGTTGCCAACATGAATTAATCTTGTCTCTGGATGATCTTAATATTTACTATATGTGTTCATTGTCATTCGACCGCTACACCATTTTGGGTGTAAAAGAATATATTCCAACCTTTATGTTTGCTACTTTCTATTAAGTCTTACTCTCAGTGAGATAATAGAAGTTTGGAGGAGCGAGATGGTGATAGAAGGCACCCAGCCCATTCTCATCAAGCGCATCAAGGTGCTCCAAACAGCGAGGAGGGCAGTGAATAAGTAAGCTTTTGACTTCAGGCGCCCTGTATATATTGAATTCTCAAATGAAGACGTCGGCTTAGAAGATGGTGCAGATGATGGCGGACCAAGGCGGGAGGGAATCTTTTACGTAAGTGTGTGGGTACGAGTGTCCATTATTACTCACACACATGAGTGATGGGCATATATATGTGAATGGGTATTGTATGTAATAATTAGGCATTGCAACATGCAAACACGAACAGTATCTCATGGCAGTTGTCTTTAAAGCGTATGTACATATGAGCTGTCAGTTTCTCCATATGGGCCTAGATATTCGAAGCTCTCTTAGCTCTAAGATAGTCGTAAGTTAATGTTAATGTATGGTACTTACGACTATCTTAGCGCTAAGAGAGCTTCGAAAATCAAGGCCGTGGTCTTTTTCACAGTCTGGCGTGTCATTCGTATACTCAGATGTGCTTATTCTTTACAATATTCCAGCGAACTGATGAAGGATTTAAAGGTCCAGTTGTTGGAGGGTGAAGGTTGGTCATTCCGACACGACGTTGGAGCCCTAGAAGCTGGTCGCTACAGGGAAGCCGGAAAGATGGTCGCTTGGAGAATTTATTAACTCATTAAAATGATAGATCGGATATTGATAACAGGACAACTACCCCGAATTTTTTGTTTATTGAACCACTTATCTGTCTTGTGTTTTGAGCTCTATAGTAGTGTCTTATCGGTTCATCAGCAACTTCAGAAAGTGGAATATTGACAGTGTATATAATGCCTGGGTCGTTAACAGGATTCACGCAGAAATTCAGGACTTTCGAAAAGGACTACAAGATCTTGAAATGCTGAAGTACATAACTGGATCACCCGAAGCCACTGAATCCCTCTCCGTAGATACTGTTGGGCCTATAAACTATCGGCAGCTAAAATCAACGTACACAGTGCATTTATCCCCGCTTGGCTCGAACAACAGATCTCAAGAAGACGACACGATGTTTGCCTGGAAAGATTTCCTTCGTACTTGTGAGAGTAAGTTGTCGCATAATGAATAAAAATATGTTTTTAGTAAAATATAGTTGAAAATATATGTTTAAGATCTGAAAATTTTAAACCCAACAGACAATGATGTCCGCCGATATGGCATACATATATTTGCCCTCTAGAAACTTTCAGTGACAGATTAGCCAAGGTAGATATTTTCTCTTAGTTCACACTTCAACTAAAATATATAATAGTATATCATTACCAAGTTTGTATCAGTTGACATTTTGTATATGCCCGACATAAGAACACAGCGTTGGTACGGTTAACCGGAGAATGACAATATATTCTTACTAGTGCCAGTGAGGTAGCATAATCAGACATATTTTCAGTGACTGTTTATGGAATCAATGCGTCAGTGACAGTGATAATGAGGGAGAGAGAGGGGGGTGTCAAAATATTTTCTGACCGATGAAATAATTTCACTAAGCAGCTACCGTTTGTTTTCTCACAAAGCATTCTAATTATTTTCCTTCCAAAGAATAGAGCAAATTTGTGCTTATATCATGTTGCAGGTGGAGACAGCACAGTCGCAATCGCTGACATACTGAGGCTTTGGACGGGGTCGGAGTGTGTCCCACCTCAGGGTTTTGATAATAAGTTGTCCATTACTTTCGTCCCGAAAAGAACGCCAGCTCCACTACCAGTTGCCCATACTTGTGGTTTGGTTTTGGAGTTGCTGCGTGGTTTTGACGCAGACGCCTTTGAAGAAAAATTGACGTATGCCATCAAATAAAGCGGTGGCTTCTTTATTACTTAGCTATGAATTTGAAGTGTGATACGTATGTCTGTATACGAGGGGCGTTCCAAAAGTAACTATATTATCGATGTCCAATGTTAGAAAAGCTTCTATTCTATTTTAAAGGAATCATTAGCAAAGACATATCCAAAATTGCACATATGGTCGATTCCAACGAAAAGTGTACACAGCTGGGTACAAGGTGTACAAAATAGAATTGTTTGCACCTTGTAATTCGTTTTACCAATGTAAAGTCAACATATGTGCCTCTTATGAAAATCAGTTGCCATCACTAATCTCTAAAAGTGACAAGTTGGTGGACCAGTGAAGTTGAAGGCTCATTTTCTAAATTACCTACAAATACCAACATCATACCTTGTATATCCTGTGATTAGATGGATTATATGTTGCCTAACATCCAAATTCACTGTTGTTCTGCATGCACAATATGTTAATGACTGTAGAAAGTCTGAAGCCAAATCATGGTTTCTTTCATGTTTTATAACCTCAAGCTTTACGAAAATAGAACCATTTTGGTACCTTTGTTTGATGTAAGTGAGATAGCACCACTTAGTGTTCTTTTCACAAACAATTCATTATTACATATCTATCTTATTCATCTGAGAGACAACGGGTGGAACTTTCGGTAAGTACAACAAATTTGAAAATGCATCAAGAACTAAATTTAGGGTGGAAGATAGAAATAATGTACTGTTAGGTACGAAATATCACGTAATTCCTTGTATTTCATAAATGTTTATATATGTCAAACTAAACTGCAGCTGGTTTATTAAAACATCGAACAGTTTGGAAATTGCTTTCTAAATGCATAGGACATGTGAATGAAGATTGTTTACAACCAGTTTAAGGCTTTCTCTTTGTTTTGTCTCGGGGTATGTCGGAATGTAGCAATGTCATTTTAACTGCTGGAAATATACTTCTCATCAAAAGTTTAGACTCACTAGAAACACTCATTATATGTTATGTGTGTGTGTATACACACACACACATATATATATATATATATATATATATATACAAGAAGTTTCTGAAATAATCACACGACACGGATCTTATCCGTGAAGAAGGAACCGTGTCGAAGGAAGATCCGTGTCGTGTGATTATTTCAGAAACTTCTTGTATATGTACTACTGTACGCTCGGTATTCTCATCACTTTCTTTATATATATATAGATATATATATATATTGTCACATCGAAGATTGATTTCTCCACTTACTTGGGGGAACCAACTGCAAACCTTATGCAGATGAATTGCACGAGGAACATGCATCAAATTGCTGAAAAGCATGCGCAAATATCGTACATGTGAACAGCTGCGTTTTGGTGTAAATTTTTGTTCGGAATTCGCCAATTTTCACTGATTTCTATCATTTATTGAACTCATGACAATAAACTTTTCAACGTTACGAATTTGTTTTACAATACATCAGTTTATGTGTAAAGAGTACTTCTAAACAGTATAGAATATTTTGCAAAATTTAGTTTAAAACAGTCGCCTGAAGTAAGTGGCTATATTTACACTAGTGAGTCTAAACTGTTGATGAGAAGTATAGAAATTGAACTAAAATCATTACATCTGAAATTTTATTTACAAAAGTTTTCAACTGACATTTGTATTCAAAGAAAGCACATCAAAATGTTCAAAACGCTTGAACTATTACCATATTCCATATAAAATTATGTACAGATAAACATGTCACTAAAACAATCAATACATTATACGTCTCACTG